GCAGGCTGCCACCTTGTGCTGTCACCTTGTGCTGCCACCTCGTGCTGCCCTGCAGGCTGCCACCTCGTGCTACCCTGCAGGCTGTCACCTTGTGCTGCCCTGCAGGCTGCCACCTTGTGCTGCCCTGCAGGCTGCCACCTTGTGCTACCCTGCAGGCTGTCACCTTGTGCTGCCCTGCAGGCTGCCACCTCGTGCTGCCCTGCAGGCTGCCACTTCGTGCTGCCCTGCAGGCTGTCACCTTGTGCTGCCCTGCAGGCTGCCACCTCGTGCTGCCCTGCAGGCTGCCACTTCGTGCTGCCCTGCAGGCTGTCACCTTGTGCTGCCCTGCAGGCTGCCACCTCGTGCTGCCCTGCAGGCTGCCACCTCGTGCTGCCCTGCAGGCTGCCACCTTGTGCTGCCCTGCAGGCTGCCACCTTGTGCTGCCCTGCAGGCTGCCACCTTGTGCTGTCACCTCGTGCTGCCACCTTGTGCTGCCCTGCAGGCTGTCACCTCGTGCTGCCCTGCAGGCTGTCACCTCGTGCTGCCCTGCAGGCTGCCACCTTGTGCTGCCACCTTGTGTTGCCCTGCAGGCTGCTTGAGCGGCAGCCTTTCGAACTTAACGAACTTATTAGCCACATCAGCGGCTCCGACCTATTAATAAACTCCGCGTTCAAATCCAATAAACTTTGTTGTATACATTTGTGGCGCCCATTGGAAAACATAAACACTGGATATCTCAGAATATTGAAGTCAGCCCCCCTAAAGTCAATATCCTGGCTCCGCCCCTGCCCACACGCACAATGTTTTCAACTCGGCTCAGGCTGAACCGAGTTAAAAACGACGTGTAGGTGCCGGCAAATGTTACGCTGTGTTCCTCAAAAGCTCAAAAGGAGCCGTCCATAAATGACGTCACGCGATTTTGGACGATATTTGACCCCCCCCCCCCCATCGTCACACGGCGTCACAAAAAGTCAGACCCCCCCTCAAATATGACGTCACAAAGCTCTGCCCCCCCCCCCCCCAAATGAAACATGCGTCAAATCGCTTTAAACTATTGTCATTGTGGTGCGTATTTAATGCGGCGCTGCACTCTGATGTTGTAGGAGAAAACATTCAAAAGTATATTTAATTAAGTAGAACGTGTTGTCTATATTTATTTAAAGTTGCGCATTTTGATGTGACGTCACATTTCTTAACCCCCACCCCCACCCTCGTCACACATCGTCACAAATGTCTGACCCTCCCCCCACGTGCGTGACGTCATTTATGGACGGCCCCTATGGAATGTCCATAACTGACAGAATGGATCGCATATACTCATTAAAAAAAACTAAAACTTTTTTTTATTTTACCAGGTAAGTCCCGCTGAGCTGTGTAGCTCTTTTTCAGAAGCGACCCGGCCACAAATGATAGCTCAACGAAGTGGCTCATCATCGTGTGGCAATGTTTTAGCAGCCAAATCCTCTAAACGCGTGATGGTGATTCTCAAAGTGGAGGGGAAAAAAAAACCCGGAGAACACGGAGGAAAGAAGCACGCGACCACGGGGGAGAACGTGCAAACTTCAGATATACAAGGCGCCAGGGTCGGGATCGTACCCACAAGCTCCTAGTATACCGGGACGAAGTCGTTAACTAACATCTCGCCACACGCTCACGATGGTGAAGCTCATCATGCCGTGTGATGCACAATCCATCAGGAACTCCCAAACAACAGCACAGCGTCGCCAGCAGAAGGGGATATCATAGAACTGCTTCTGAGAGATCCACTTTCAGGTGACCTCTTAGCCATACGACGGACAATCGCATTCTCCCCACGCACTGTAGCTGTATCAGAATATATATTTTTCATCCTGGAGGAATCCCATGAGCTATAAAGCTCTTTTTCACAGATGTAGCGGCGGTGGTGATGGCTATGCTGCTGCACGTCGTTGCCTGTAATGCAGCGCTGCATAGCTATCAACCCATACGGTTTACCCGGTGTTCTTGTACAGGGAAATTGAGTTTTCAGGTCCATACGGCGTACAGCAGTTTCAATGCGGGCAACAGCCATTTTTGTGTCTGTTTTTTGTTTCTCCCTTGTGATGGGACTTTGCAGCATGAACGTTGAGATTTATAAGGGCACGGTGGTGACCAACAAGGTCTGAATTGGTCTGTAATAGGGTAGACACTGATAAGGGGTTGACAGGTATCTAGTAGCGTAGTGTATATTGTAGTATATAGTGTAGTGTATAGTGTAGTGTATAGTGTAGTGTATAGGATAAACGTTGAGATTGGTCTGTAATAATAAGGTAGGACACTGATAAGGGGTTTACAGGTATATAGTAGCGTAGTGTATATTGTAGTATATAGTGTAGTGTATAGTGTAGTGTATAGTGTAGTGTATAGGAAAAACGTTGAGATTGGTCTGTAATAATAAGGTAGGACACTGATAAGGGGTTGACAGGTATGGCATTGTGTGTGGGGGGAGGGGGCAGTAGCGGCGGAGTGTTTTTCTGGATCGCCACGCAAATGCTGTGAAACGCCTCCGCCCGTGGGGCGCTAAGTTCGCCCTCTCCTGGCTTAGCCGAGGTATGGCAGCGTAGCAAATCGGACACATTTCCATGTATCAAGGGGGGATTGAATGTCACCCACTCGCACGCGTTAGTCCTCTCCGGATGCTCTGGTTTCCTCGCCACGTGTATCAACCCTCTTGAATGGAGCTGGCCAAATATGCGCCATGCATCAAGGCCCCGTTGCCCGAAACATCGCCTGTGATATATATATTCCTTTTAAGACGGCAGTGGCATGAACGAATGTGTTCACCGTTTTGTTATTTGTACTGCCAACGCGGTATCGCCAAATAATCCCAATACAGCGCCACAGAGGTTTGGGGTATTGTTGGTAGCGCCGGCTCTGGCTGGCTGTCCACTCCGGTCTGTTGTTTAAGGCGCCTCTGAATCAAGGCCGTAATTATAATATATTGGGGGACACCCCTCCACCCCCCCAATATTCAAATATGCTCAAAATGCCCCCCCCCCCATATATTGCTACGAAAATATTAAAAAGTAATAATAATTGCTATGCTATGTAAATAAAAAAAATAATTTGCTAAACCTTGGCCACAATATCTGGACTTGTCTTCATATAAATCAATGCATAGATTTCTGTTTGTATGATTGTGGTTATGGTTGTACTTTATTAATCCCTAATCCCAAACATTACATACAATGATACAATAAATGGTAATAAAGTAAAAACAGAGCAATGTAATAGATTACACTATTAGACATTATTGTAAATAATACAATAAAAAGTCCATCCCATGTGTTAGTGCATTTTAAAATATTTTTAGGCACAAAATGGCAGGAAATGTTTTAAAATTTAGATTATTTTCTGGCTTGGGACCCCCAGACCCCCTGGAAGATTTGGTCACCCCCAATGTTGACTCCATGGCTACGGCCTTGCTCTGAATCATTCTCTCTCCCCCTCTCTCCCTGAGAATGAAGGAGAACAAACAGCACGAAACGCATTGCTCCGTTGGGAGGCAGCTCGCCTACTGGCGAGCTCTGTAGTAGACGCTCACGGTGTAAACACGATTAACAGCACTGCGGTGTTACATGCGTGTGGCTACTCGTAACTTGGCGAGGTGCGACTTGTTGCGTTGTGTGCAACGACCCATGGCCATGGCACAGGAATTGGGCAGAGAGGTCGTGTTGCATCGCCATCTGAGGATCGGTGTCCGCTTTTATCGACCCCTTGCCGATGACAGAGGCCTGGGTGCGCTTCTCAACCCCTACCCTCTCAAAGGGAGTCGAACTCACGCGATTTCCTCCTGTGGGCCGTGAACTCCTCTCACTGCTAATACCACCAGGGTCGGGCTAATAGGACGTCACCTTCAGAAATCATCTCCAGAGTCAAGAGTTCTAGATTCTCGAACACACATTCAGGGCGCCGTCTTAATAGCCTTCGGCGAAACGTATACAGCGGTGCTTTAAATTGTTGGGCTTGTTTAAAACGCGGATTACTCCGTCCAGGTCTTACCCATCCATCCCTCCCACTCCCATCCATCACCGCTGCCCCTCCTCCCTCTCCTCCTGCCACCGCCTGCCAGCGCCCGTCTCGCCGCCGAGGCGAGGAGTGGTCCCTCCCTCCAACGCGGAGACGGAACGCGGAGCTCGCGCGCGAGAACACCGCGTGCTTACATCTCCTCCAGCTCGCATCTCCTCCAGCTCGCATCTCCTCCAGCTCGCGTCATCTCCAGCTCGCATCTCCTCCAGCTCGCATCATCTCCAGCTCGCATCATCTCCAGCTCGCATCATCTCCAGCTCGCATCATCTCCAGCTCGCATCATCTCCAGCTCGCGTCATCTCCAGCTCGCATCATCTCCAGCTCGCATCATCTCCAGCTCGCATCTCCTCCAGCTCGCGTCATCTCCAGCTCGCATCATCTCCAGCTCGTATCATCTCCAGCTCGCATCATCTCCAGCTCGCATCATCTCCAGCTCGCATCATCTCCAGCTCGCATCATCTCCAGCTCGCGTCATCTCCAGCTCGCGTCATCTCCAGCTCACGTCATCTCCAGCTCGCATCTCCTCCAGCTCGCATCATCTCCAGCTCGTATCATCTCCAGCCCGTATCATCTCCAGCTCGCGTCATCTCCAGCTCACGTCATCTCCAGCTCGCGTCATCTCCAGCTCGCATCTTCTCCAGCCCGCATCATCTCCAGCTCGCATCTTCTCCAGCTCGCATCATCTCCAGCTCGCATCATCTCCAGCTCGCATCATCTCCAGCTCGTATCATCTCCAGCTCGCATCATCTCCAGCTCGCATCATCTCCAGCCCGCATCATCTCCAGCTCGCGTCATCTCCAGCTCGTATCATCTCCAGCTCGCATCATCTCCAGCTCGCATCATCTCCAACTCGCGTCATCTCCAGCTCGCATCTCCTCCAGCTCGCATCTCCTCCAGCTCGCGTCATCTCCAGCTCGTATCATCTCCAGCTCGCATCATCTTCAGCTCGCATCATCTCCAGCTCGCATCATCTCCAGCTCGCATCATCTCCAGCTCGCGTCATCTCCAGCTCGCATCATCTCCAGCTCGCGTCATCTCCAGCTCGCATCTCCTCCAGCTCGCATCTCCTCCAGCTCGCGTCATCTCCAGCTCGCATCATCTCCAGCTCGCATCATCTCCAGCTCGCGTCATCTCCAGCTCGCATCTCCTCCAGCTCGCATCTCCTCCAGCTCGCGTCATCTCCAGCTCGCATCATCTCCAGCTCGCGTCATCTCCAGCTCGCGTCATCTCCAGCTCGCGTCATCTCCAGCTCGCATCTCCTCCAGCTCGCGTCTTCTCCACCTCACCACGTTCAGCTGAGCTCAACCAAGCGTCTCCAGCTCACACCTCGAGCTCATCACCTTCAGCTGAGCTCAACCAAGCACGCTCGGCTCAGCTTGTTTTATCACGAATACAGCCGCGTTGTACAACTACTACACTACCACTCAGGGGCATCTCCACCACCACTACCACCACCACTCACGGACACCTCCACCACGCACAGGGAGCTCCACTACTCAGGGACATCACCACCACCACCACTCACGGACATCTCCACCACCACCACTCACGGGAGCTCCACCACTTAGGGACATCTCCACCACCACCACCACCACTCACGGACATCTCCACCACCACCACCACTCACGGACATCTCCACCACCACCACTCACGGGAGTTCCACCACTCAGGTACATCTCCACCACCACCACTCACAACAGGGTCAACGGACACTACCGTTGACCTCCCACAGTCGTGATTGAGATGCTCAGCAGTGGTTTCGGATGTATTTTGATGAACACATCATAACCGTGCAGCTTGTTTGCGTTGTTCTTGAGTGGTAGCAGCAGCAGCAAGAGCAATAATACTCGTGCCACTTTTTTGAATTTTATTTTTGGCCCGGAGCCCCCAGCGTGGCAGTGACAGCGACAGCAGCAGCAGGTGACATCATTGCGCGTCACTTGCACGGCTAAAAATACGATACGAGCCTAGACGCAGGGGCCGCGGCAGCGGGCAGAGCGCATCCCTCACGAGTCGGCGGATTCAGCTCCCCGTCGACAACAAGACGAGCTGCAATCCAGCCCGCAGATCCGTCAGTCGCATACACACACACACATCGGAAGCCACCACCACCATTCGTCAGCGTCGGACGAGACGTTGCAGCGGTCGCACCGAGCCCCTCGCGAAGTTCACGACGAGGATGGAGGAGACGAGAGCTCGGCGCTGTTGGCCACGCGCGCCCCCCCATCTCCGTCTGCTGCCGCCTCTGCTGCTTCTGCTCGCCTTGGCCCCGCACAGCGGCAGGGCGGCCCTGGACCCGGCAGTCCGCGGTGACGGCCGCCCCGCGGGCTCCTCGGGTGGCCCGGGCAGCTGCTACGACGCGCGGGGCCGCGCTCAGTTGTGCCGACCCGAGTTCGTGAACGCGGCGTTCGGCGCCACCGTGGAGGCGTCTGACACGTGCGGCACTCCGGTCGAGGAGGAGTACTGCGCGCAGACGGGGGCCGTCGCCTCTTCCTCCTCCTCCTCCTCCAGCGCCAGCGCCACCGCCTGCCACCGCTGCTCGGCCGCCGATCCGGCGCTGAGCCACGGCGCCGAGCTGCTCACGGACGCGGACGGCGACGGTTCCTGGTGGCAGAGCCGCAGCATGGAGCACGGCGTGCAGTACCCGGTGTCAGTGAACCTCACGCTGCGCCTCGGTGAGACGAGCGGACTCTCTGGCATCCTCTCTCTCACTCACTCACGCTCTCTCACTCACTCACGCCCTCTCACCACACCCTCACTCACCCTCACTCTCACGCTCTCTCACCACACCCTCACTCTCACTCACCCTCTCACTCACTCACGCTCTCTCACCACACCCTCTCTCTCACTCACCCTCACTCTCACTCACGCTCCCTCACCACACCCTCACTCTCACTCACCCTCACTCTCACTCACCCTCTCTCTCACTCACGCTCTCTCACCACACCCTCACCCTCACTCACGCTCTCACCACACCCTCACTCTCACCACACCCTCTCTCTCATGCACCCTCACTCTCACTCACGCTCTCTCACCACACCCTCACTCTCACGCACCCTCTCTCTCACTCACGCCCTCTCACCACACCCTCACTCTCACTCACGCTCTCTCTTAACACACCCTCACTCTCACGCACCCTCTCTCTCATGCACCCTATCACGCACTCATGCACATTCTCTCTTACGCACCCTCTCTCGTCTCTCACTCACGCTCTCTCTCTCTCACATTTTTACACACCATCTCTCTCTCACACACACACTATTACGCACTCACACACCTTCTCCCTCTCTCTCTCTCACGCACCCTATCTTGCACTCACGCTCTCTCTCTCTCTCTCGCACTCACTGTAAACCTTTCCAACAAAGACAAAGATCCCCCACATAGCCTTGCCAGACTGTTGGGGCAAGTGCTGTTCGTGAGCACCTATGACACCAACACCACGCCCGGCCGCCTTTGTCTCCCCACCAGTGCTGATGTTTACACACCGCACCGGCTACTCATTTAGGCACTGGATCATCCTCGGGAAAGGTGCAGAGCCGGTCCAAACGCCTGCGCCACACTTGTTGGCGGTGAGCGTGAATCTCACTCGGGGGGCGTTGGGTTCACAGCGCCAAGCACTACGCCACCGTTTTCCATACCCACGCGGGCTGTCACACGCGCCTGAGACCAGAGGTTGGGGCTGACTCGTGCAAGTAACCGCTTACTCGGCCCGCCACACTCTGATTACTCGACTCGTCGGACAGATAGCAAGTCGTTGGAAAGAGTCCGCTGTTTCCACTTGTGCCGCTGGACGGGAGGCTTGAGGGGGGGGGGGTCATGAGCATCAGGCACCGGGGGTTTCCCGCTTTCAGGAGGCAATATACGGGGGCAGCCGCTACTTTTAATGGCATTCTGAGTTATGGACCAACAAAAAGTAGGGGATTACAATTTTAGTCGACTAATCAACGTATAATAATGATGTCAACTTGTAGCGCACCTCTGCACAGTAGCCGCTCGCTCTCAGAGAGACACAGAGAGAGAGAGAGAGAGGACGACTCAGAGGGGTGAGGAGCCACGGACGAGCGAGGAGGCAGCAGCCACACGCTGAGCCGCCCCCCAAAGCTCTGCTATCCTCTATTTATTAAGCTCTTACGGACCCATTAACACATGTTTACACGTGGCATAAAAAGCACACAAAACCCACGCATGCGAGGGGGCAACACCATATCCCATACGGACGGAGCAGGTGGAGTTACACATTTGCTGTACCGCCTTCTGCTGGCGAGCTATAGGGTAACGGGCTCCTCCTCGACGCCCACGGGAAAAGAGTTTCACAAAAGTCGTGCGATCTACCAACCCACGCTCTTGCCTCCACCGTGGCGGATGACAGGCCGCGTACAAAGCCACCACCGCCCGGCTTTGTCGACTCTTCGTCTCGAAACGGCGTTTGCGGGGATGCTGGGCTCCAGTGGTGAGGGGTTGTGGACGAGGTGGTCGTTGGTGGTAGCCATGTGGAGGGGAGAAGCATGTCAGAGGGGATGGATGGGTGCGCCGTCATTCATAGGCTGGTTCAGTAAAATCCGATTCACCCGCTCACGATACACGCATTGAATCGTGTGCATGTGTGTGTGTGGGAGAACAGATGATTTTTCAGTTGTGCTATTTGTGATTGGTGAACATCGATCACTTCGTCAAATCCTGACCCCCCCCCCACCCCCTGAATCATGGCAATTAATTGACTCACAATGTGGTTAGTTGTCCATGGCTGATAGGCGTGTTGCAGTGTGAAGGGGCCTTTTTCAGGAAGCGTCGACCATCACGCGCCTCCTCGCAGTGAATTTTAGCCACTCACCAAACGGAGGCGGTCTTGGTGTCGTCACGTGCTCTTAGCTGTGCCTCTGCAACCGTCTGGAACGCTCTTCCTTCTCACTTTAGGAGCCCACTGGAACTGTGCACTTTTGAAGCTACAGATTGAAATCTCATTTTTTTGTGCCGTTTGTGTGTGGTCTGCTGTCCCTTCCCCGCACCGCCGATTGGCGCGGTTGGCTACGTACGGCGCGGAAGAAGTTCAACATACATACATACATTATGTACAGTACATACAAGATCTTCTTTGGTTCTTTCGGTAAAGTCACGTAGAATGAGAATAAAATAATAAATTGATAAAATAAAATAACACAATAATATTCTCACGACGTTTCGGCCACAACACAAGCGGCCTTCATCAGGTGAAGGGACGAGACTGTCTGGAGGACAGCGCTGGAGTGAAAAAGCCACGCTCAGATCACGACCTTTAAGCTGTGTGAGAAGAAACAAAGCGCCTTGACAAAGGAATTAGCATATAATTTAGCATTGAAATGGCTGAGTGATTAGCTTGTGACTGGTCACAGAAATGGCTATGTTAAAGTTAAAGCATACACATCCGCAAAGGCACCCCTTGACAAAGGAATTACCATAGAATTTAACATTGAAATAGCTAAGTTAAATTTTAACTTAGCTATTAACTTTAACTTTAACATAGCCATTAATTCACGACTCGCAGAAGGCCGCGTGGCTGATGGGATGCGTAAAAAATGTACCGCAATTATTTGGAGAGACAAATATGGGAAGGGGGTTGTTATCCACATCCTGGTAACGAGCACCGCTTCAGCAGGTTGTGCACATCTTGACTAACCCTATACAAGATGACGATGTCGATATTGTCACGGGATAACAGAACCACAGCTGGGATTTTACCTCGTACTGTCGTGACTGAAAAGCCACCCTGGGCTGTGTGTTCATGTCGTGTCGGCTTCTTTAAAGTGGATGATTAAGAGGCTATGGCTAGACGTTCCCTCAGGGCGTCGTTACCCAATGGGCCCCACACCGAATATTCCACCGACCAAACCGCCTCAAGTGCCAAAACCCGCGGTACCAATTTTCCTTAAATAGATCATTTAAGTGGAATGTGACAATTCACTTGAAAAATGAGTCGGTTTTCATCGCATCTATCAACCTCTGCCTCCGGGATATCACGAAGCCAGGCCTCGTCCGTATAATCTTCTCTCGGGCCCGCTGCCTTGGATGTAAGTTGAGCTTCTTTCATGCCGCACGTAGACAACCGTGCCCATCGGAGGTACCGCCACTTTCCCTCCTGGAGTGAAGGTTCAGGATTCCAAAGTGTCGGGATTTCAGAAGGGCACTTCGCTTGCCGTGGTCCAGAAGTGGTTGGCGTGATCTTAGCCCTGGGCATTAAACACAACCACTGCTTATGATTGGGCACCCGTGGCCAAACAGGAAACTGGATTTTGTTTGCGCATCGCACACATTAGCTGCTTGAAAAGTGGCATTGGGTAAACAGTGTCTCGGGTCAACTGCAGGGCCCTCTTTGAAGTCAGAGTTAGGTTGAGGTCAGGGTTCCTGCTAAGTTCAAACCCGATGACACCTCTGAGCCCGGAGCAGAACATTTAAAATCGAACAATACACCACGTTTGCAATTTTAACTTAAACAATCCGCGTGTACAATATCGTAAAAGGCAACGCTGCAGCCCTGCACAATGTCTTTTCGTCACTGCTGGCAGAGGGGCTTCCATTAGAGGGAGCTCTGGTGGAGCCCCTCTCGAAAGTATTTGAGCAATTTTTCCACGTTGACCAATGTCTTAGAATAGGTGAGAGTGCCCACACTTTACAGCATCGCACGCGACCTGCCTGTACTGGAGTACACTTCTAGTGTGCCCATTTGCACCGATGGGTCAGGGCTCGGCAAACGTGCGCATGCGGCTCTTTAAGGAACTGCTGCTGCGTGACGCGTTATGTATTAAGGAACCACCGTCTCGTATTCACCACCACAGTGGATTGCGGCTCTTGAAATATTGAGTTGGGTTTTTTTTTAATATACCGATGTTGACACAAATGCCTCTTGTTATTTTTGTCGCCGACCTCTGTGGCTGGGTCGACAGAGGCGTGGAAGGATTTAGTTAAAACTTGCAGCATTTTCTTAGTTTTTTCGGTAAAGTCACGTTGAAGAGAAACAACAAAATAATAAAATATATATAAAATATATATTGTTTTATGTGACTTTACCGAAAAAACTAAGAATATGAATTACTGCAGTCACGAAAGCTTTAAATAAAAAAACTTGCAGCATTGTTTCAATCGCTGCACCAGGAGGCTGATTCGGCGACCTCTGGATTATGTACAGAGTGCATTACGTAACCGAGTACTCGTTTCTGTTATAAGGCTGTCTTGGTGATGCACCGCCGCGGCCAGAAATGTGTGGAATTTGGGGCGTTCTAATCGCTGAGGTTGTACCGTCGCATCTCGATGTTACCAATTCATGAATTGGGTATGCCCCTTAAATACACACCAACAAAATCCCCGTTCAAGGCCTCGTTTCGATTGCCAGTCAAGACCGCATAGCTCCTCTCGAGCTGTGGAGGTGACGGAGCGCTCCGTGCCTGCGGCGGCGGTCACGACGCTCCCAGAGCTGCACTCAGCTAAATTTGCCGCGAGAGTTAAAGAAAATAACTGGCACAAAAAGACAAAGATCCCCCGTGTAGCCTTAACACGGCTGTCGGGGCAAGTGTTGTTAGCGATCAGCACCTATAAAGGCCGGCACAGCACACAAGGGGGTGGGTGGCCAACACCACGCCCGGCCGCCTTTGTCTCCCCAGTGGCGATGTTTACACACCGGAACCAGGTACTCATTTGAGGCTGA